GGTCCCTATAAAGATTTCCATTTCACACCCTGGATGACTCCATGTTAGGTCTCAAAACTGAGTAACGAATTTATTCTCCTGAAGACATTTACAATATATGTTTAGAGTTCAGTAACATATAAAATAAAAATAAATTAAAATATTATTATTGATCATCATATAATCTCAGTATTACATTACAGTTATAGGAATAAAGATACAAACTATGATTTTTACAAACGAAGTACTTCTCTTGCCCCTATTTGTTGCTAGCGCTCTCGAGTGCTAGCGACTAAGTTAATCTTTTTTTACTGGAATACGCATGCTCGACTTCACGGTAGGGAATTCTGGGAATACAACAGTAGATAAACTGTACAATGTCTCTTTCGTTTTATAATCTGAAAATACACATGATCTGAAGTTTCATGTTTTGTTGTCCAACCTGTACATAAATATCAAAATAAAAGGAAATTAGGTCCGTTAAGACTGTAGAAATCAGTTGTTTCTAAAATTATAATAAAAACCTATCTTGTCTAACTTCTTTCGTGGATCTTTCCGACAAGCTCGGAAAAAAACTGTGAAAATATGTTTTCCGACCTTGTCGAAAAGGCCCGACAAGATGCAATTGCTACAAAACAGTAACACATTGGAATACTTTAAGGGGGCTCTCTGTAACGTCACAACATGGCGTACTTCCGTTGAAACGCCATTTTGATCCCAAATGATCTGATTCAAATTCACTTAACACCGATAAATCACCGAGTATAACACAACATGCGATATTGTGGATGGAATGCACATTGTATCACCTAAATTAATACAGCGTAGTGCCCAATACGTATCTTTTCTTTAAAAATGAATTGTTTGTCAATTTATTCAATTTCTACTTATTTAATTTAAAAAATATATATATTTACAAACTTATTAGAATAAATATGACTTTAGGTAAGAAAAAATGAAATAAAACATGACTTGCTAATTCATCATTATGTGTCAAAACGCCATACACTCCGAAATTTCTTTTTCCTTCAAAAAATATCCCCTAAAAATGCAAATTTGATAAGATAAGGCATATGTATCATCTTTCCATCGACTAGTGGATACTTGTTCACGATTTGTATACACCCGAATGTGTGGTTATTCCCGGTGAAAGAGCTAAATCCACGAAGTGCCAAAATCGGCCCAGTCATCAAAATAAATGAAACTTTCTCACATAATACTCTAAGATTTGTATGTTGTAAAACAATTTATTTTTTAACAATATCTTTTCTGGTTTTCTTTTTACAGACGTTTAAACTTAGTATTGTTTTCCTTATCAAAACTATCACGTCATTACGTTGACGTTACATACTATAATGTTGTGACGTTGACATTTTGTATTACAAAGTAACATATGTACGTTAATGGAATAAAATTCACCAAAATATGCTCTTCTTTTTTAAGAAAATTTAATAATGAATTTTTTAAGATGTTTTGAAAACTTTTAAGTTTATATTTAAATTGAAGCTATTTGTATATTAACGAAATATTTATTTACAACATTTATCTCGTAAAATCGTGGTTATATGTAACACGATTTAAATGAAAATAGGGGACACATTAAGCTGAAAATTACAGCAAGTGTTAATCTATCATATTTAAGTTGAACTGAATTTTGTAGTAAAATATACACTTGTAGCCATGGATAAGGATTTTATCGTTCTTAAATGTGTTGTAGTATTGTCCTATGCCGTACAAACAAACAGAGGTTTTACAAAAGAATGCACAAGACTTAGTGCTCTTTAATAACGAATACATAAAATAAAAAAAAAAAGTTGCATTAAAAATGAATATGTTTGAAGTGACCATCTATTATATTGTCATTCTGAAGATTTCGCTGCACTTTCGTAATTTAAAGCGTTTCCCGGACATTTGAAATGACTTTGTATTAAAACACATGTACATGAAATACACGAAAAATAATGACGTTTTAGGGCTTTCCACAAGGCAGTATGTTTAGGAAAGAAGCCACTACAGACTTTGAACAAGTTAAGATTGACGCAAAGCATCAATCTAATTAAAATTAGATCTTTGATCCGCTCCAATAGATCGCTGTGTAGCGATCTAGTTGGAGCGGATCAAAGGTCTAATTTTGATTAGATTGGCAAAGCATCAAATCGGCAGCAAAAAAATGCATTTTTATTTTTTTTTCAAATAAGAGTTCAAAGAAAACACAAGATTTCCGAAGTATTTGAATTTCAAAACGGAACATGAAGTTTAAAAAAAAACGAAATGGCATGTATACCACTTTATTCAATTGAAATTACTTAATCAAAATAAAATTCACTAATTAATGATAAATATGTTATATCATCAAATCTTATATACGAGATCTCCAAATGACAAAGAGGATAACCTTTCCACGTGATAATAACTTGGATCATGCCGATGATTTCTGCAGACTATGCTGCACATCGCGATAACAGACAAAACAATAAATGTGAAGTGTAGAAAAAAAATATCTTAGCGTCAATTACAGCTACAGCATATATAAAACATTTTTTAAAAATTTTTATTTATGAATTTTGGCACTGTAATTCACATCCACAGAAATGAAAATGATTCACTTTCATATCTCACGCACTCCCCTGTTGGGGAGTACCTGTTGTAAACCCTTTTAATAAAATCATAAAGTAATAATTATCTGGTGAATTGAAACATAATCTCAACAACTCAGACTTTTATATAGTTCAAAGCCAGTTTTAACATTTTACTCATAATTTTCATATATATTAAGAAATTATTCTGTCGAGCTGCTAATAACGTTTCGTGTCTCCATGTGCACTTTCTAACACTTTCTAACACAACCACAAATAGATAGGCAAAAATGAGTATAGAAGACGATGAAATAATCATAATATCGTATACATACATGTATGGCGTATGAGATTTTTAATACTCGGACTTTTTCTGATCGGGACTTTTTGTAAACAAAAAAAAACAAACAAACAAACAAAAAATAAAATAAAATAAAATAAAAATTAAAAAAAAAAAAAAAAACAACAACAACAACATGGAAACAACTACCGGCAGTAGTGAATGACTATCATTACAATCCATAGATTACTTATTTAATTCAAAGAAGTAAAACTACCGTCCGAAGCATTAATTGTCTATAATGAGTAGCACATTATTGCATTGTTCACAGGTATTACGTATTGTCTGAAAATTGGAGAGAGAAAAAAATAACAATAATGCATTCGGGACATACATGTATACATTTTTATCATACAGATTGAAAAAAAAAATTCAAAACTGCGATTGCATGGATTTTTCCACACTATACATACAAGGATTAATATAACGTCATTGTATAATTAATTCACTTAATACCACTTTCTTGTTTAAATGACACTATTAATTGCCAAATTGGTCGAACTGTTCCACCTATTAAAGTTCATCCAAAATTGAGAATGAGTGAGGGTGGGAATCCCAAATTCTCCTCCCCCTTACCGCTGTCTTATTTTTGTAATAGCCCCCCCCCCCCTTTATGAATAATTTACACTACCATGCTTGCTAAGCTTGGTTGCCCTCGAGCTCTCTCCCTTAGACCTGCTACATTTAAGAGGAGTAACTCAAAATAGAAAGGTAGCAAGTAGCCTCCCTTTGATTTTTTTTTCATATGCTGGCTAGGTCACAGAATGCAGACGCGTAGACGATGCTGAAATTTACTTAAAGAGTTGTCACTACCTTGATAGTAAGTTATTCGTTTGTACAATGTATTTGTTTTATAAAGACTTATCACAAAAATTACGAGTACACACGATCTGTAAAATCGTAGTCTAGATTTAAAATCAATCTATTTTGTTTATTTGATGTCAACTCGAATTTTCTAGGTTCTATATTTCGTAACGTTATGGGGTCTCGGATTTGAAAATGTTCTCACTAATAAACATTAATCAATCGTTTGTCTTAAAATGCAAACGGCAATTTCTGAAACGCATGCTAGTATGCAATATAATCCAACGTTAACCATGTTTATGACGTTTGTGATGCCTGTCGATGCTCATCTTAGCTTCGCTAGCCAAGGGTTTCTGATCTGAGAGTCCCTTGGATAGCGAATATGGTCGCTGCTAACTTCTCGACATTTATGTTTTGTAAGGTGGTGAAACAATAATTATATGTACGTCCTGGAAGTTGCATCTGATGTAATCAACTTGTATAGTAGCTATTTCGACTTCGCCACTGATGTACACGTTTTTCGGGTGATCTCCCTTTGATTACATAGTGACCATGGTGACGAGGAGTCGGTAGTTGCAGAAAAACAAAATACAAATAAATGGGCTAGGAATAATTATTTTAACATTTCAGCATATTGATGAGTTAAATAGAGATCAGCTACGTGAAGAAAAAGTCTTGGGTCAGGACTGAGGCACGTAGTACAGACAAGTACAAAAAGTCGACATTATTGCATCTGCATGCGGTCTCGTTTAACAAGAGTTTTTCGTACTTTTTTGCACCACAACACACAAAATAACATATTATAGACAGAACATTTGCATTTCTAAACTTTTTCGTATTTACAAAAACAATACAAAATCTTTTTCTTTTTAATTTATGTGAGGTATGCCCCGTAATTTCCACTGTGGTAGTCCGAGCTTAGAGATTGGAATCGAACTAAAAGTAAAAATTTCGATTTGGCCACACCCTTCGAACAAAATTAAACTATGCTCTACTTATTCGTATTTTAATTCTTTTTTTAATGGTATAAAATTAATTTTGTTCGAAGGATGTGGCCACAGCAAAAAATTGAACTAAAGACGGAAAAAATGCTTTATTTTGATAAAAAGTATGAAAGTGCACGTGTTTAGACTTTTTCTGTAAAAATATGACGTCATCAAATAAAAAAATCTGCATACACTTTTTAAGTTTGATACTTAAGGATAATATTTCTATTGTTAATTTTCTTCTTCCCCTCAGTTTAATTTTCCTGAAAAAAATAGGCTAATTTAGCCCCTTCGTGGATTTAGCGCTTTAAACTCTTCATGAAATCACCAAAACGTTTCGACAGTAAGTGGAATTTTGCTTGACTCAAACGTTTGATCAACATTGATTATCAGCTGTATGGGAAACGTGCAGCTTTTAAACGAAGTGTGAATTTGGTAACAGGAATTTCTTTTACGTGCTTTTGGCCATTTACCATGTTTACATGTTATGTTATATCTAGCACTGGATAACACATGCTAGTTGGATAAAAATAGTAAGTAAATCTACCTTTCTCAATACCATGAATTCACGAAATACATGTCTTTGTCACTGACTGGAAACGTGATGGTTTTCGCTTAAACTCATTTGAAAAACAATACAATACGAACTTCTTTCAATGGCTTTGCTTGACATCTTTTTTCAATACTTGTGCAAGTTTTAGACGAGTTTAATTGAAGTATATAGAAAAACATTACCAAGATATTTGAGCCCACTCTTGAAGCGGATCTTTCAAACCTGAATTTTTGTGATGTTTGAAAAATTTGACAGTTTTTCAATTTTGTTCAATTTCTTTTTTTCGTTGTTTTTACCCTTTGATATTATATATCTTTTTAGATATTGGAGAAGATCCCATCAGCTATTCTCAAGAAAATGCTGTTTTAATTTTTCTTTTGTCTATTTTTGTAAATTTAAATAAAAATTATGTAGATTTTATTTATAACTTTGTTGGTTATTATTTCAATATTTTATAACATTAAACTTTGAAGAGAAATTTAAAGCACTGAGCTTTTAAAAATATAGAAAGGAGGGGTTTAAACAAAATAAATAAAATATTTTGAATATTTCTAAAAAATAAAGTGAAATACTTTGGAACCTTATTTTATCGAATATTGAGTATATTATTAGAAACAAATGAATGCAACAAAAATCAGTTTTACTTCAAATGTGTAGAGATCCTCCTTAAACTGGGTGCTCACTGGATCTACTGATCTGTTATTTTTCACCTAAAAATTGTAATTACAGTAAACTACAGAACGCTTAAAGCACAGTTAATGAGTTATGCCATTGCCAAGTGAAGCCCACCCAAGAGTCATCATTCTGAGTTGAGACCCACGCCCCCAAGTGCACCACTGTGCCTGTCTATTAATAATTCATCGATTCAGCAAATTAAACAAATGTTGAAGATATATACTTCTGCATTGTGATGGCTACACTGCTAGCTCATCTATCGTTTTAAAAGATAAGCTTGTACCAGTTTACACTAATTTACGAACCATCACCATGCTAGCTGCATTTATTTTTGCCTCCATTGGCATTCCGAGATCTTTTTATTAAATTATAGGGTTCACCTAGAACAGAATCTCGAGCCCGATGTTTAAAGCCATCACATCAAACTTCTACCCCATCCAATGACCAGTGACATAACATGATTATGACAATACAGTGATTTGTGTATTTTCTGGTTTGCCTGTCATTGTGAAATGAAGGTAACTTTGGTAAATCTTAACTGCATGCGTTAGAATATTAAGACTTTTTTTTTTCAGAATAAGCGAAAACCTTAGAGTACCGTTCTTCACTCAAAATCCTTTGAAACATGTTTTTAAAAGTGAACGTTCACATTCCAACCTTAATAGATAATCATAATTTTAATAATTAATTTTTGATGAATAATATAAATATTTCATTTTCTTATTCTTTCTTTGATTTAGTATTCAACATTTTCTATTACACAACTACAATTCATGCCACACAAAGTTTAATAAATATATAAACTGAATAAACATCCGCTTTTTGTTAGTGTGTTCAGTAACTTATATACATAACACTGACCATCTGATAGGGAAGGCTCAGGATATACTGCCATGTTCGATAAAAGTCCAGCAGTTTTAAGTATAATGTAGGAGATGAGGGCATTGTCCGTTCTGTACTGTCGTCATGCTGTCGTGATCTGTTTAATATACTAGTACATGTGTACGTATTGTCTAAATGACAAGTCCTTTTATAACCGTATCATGCATCTGAGTGTTTATCAGGTTTTCTGGGTGTCAGGCAAGAAAAAGAATTTAATGGAATATTTTTTCTTTATCATTTTCTTTTAATAAAAATATATTTGATTACTTTATTACATTAATTAAATGAATGAATAAATAAATAAATAAATAAATAAAATAAAGGAAGTATTTGAGACCTGCAAGGAAATACAAGTTTTATAGGGCTCATTAAAAAATATATATCAATTGCAATGATACAGTATGGGGGTGTTTTAACAAACATGTCCCGACTTTAGAGGTTTAAAGTTTTGCATAATAATAAAATATTTCAAAAATCAAGAAGTGTATTTTACAGTATATTTTCTGGCAATATTATTATGATGTAGATACAATATATAATAATGTCATTATTGTTTGTTTTTTTGTTTTTTTTAAGTTTTGGTAATATCATCAAAAGTCTGGTCGACAGTATTTTTTTTCTAAAATGAATCTCTATAGATATTGTTGAACTAAACTATGCAAACAGTATGTGCAAAGGATTTTGAAAAAAAAAAAAGTACTTAGATAAGATCAATCTTTCCAGGAAGCTGATTTTTAAAATTACATCCAAGTTCAAGCTACATGGGACATCACAGACAAAAGGTTTACTGAGGTTGCTGACGGAGAAATACAGCAAAAAATGACGTTAAATTGAAAACTCCTGCTGATGTCCATGTTTAAAAAAAATGCCTGTCTTAAAAATGAATGCACCAGCTTTACTTCAACTTTCTTAATGATAAAATTATTTGGTTATATTCTTCATATTCTTTGAAAAATTCCTCTACAAAAATACTGCCTAACTTTTTTTATTGAAACCGCAAAGTCGGGAAATGTTTGTTTTATTACCAGTAAAATTGTTTAGGTTTTATTATATTTTTTTTCAGAATTGAAAAAAAAAATTAACAAAAATTAAATTATGTGTTACCTTTCAACAATTTTAATAATTTATTAGTTTACCCCTCAAGACAACTAATTATCAAAAAGACAATATACACATATATCTAATACGTAGTGTTCTTACAGGACATGAATCTTACATTCATGAATTAATCATACTAGTTCACGTTGTAAGTAATCTTAATATCGCTTTGCATGGTATCAGGTATTAATTGTAAGAAAACTTCTGTACAAACATTATATATGTCTATCACTTATTATTTATTGACATCATCCAAAGATATCAAAAGGATATGAGTGTTTTCTAGGAAAATAATAAATTCATGAGAGTAAATTTCATTTTGTTTACTAAATGCTCGAAAATGATATCTAAAATACTCCAGCACCCATCTTATAAAAGATAAACTCTGGGTTAGAAAGACATGGTTAACCTTCCTACCTTCCCCTACCCCCCACCCCCACCCACCCCTATCCTCCCCGAACATTTCCAGACAGCTGGAGACGTCGGTCCTGTCATTGTATTTATTGAAAATTGTTTATAGCTAAAAACTCATGTTAACATATTATTTCAATTCATAAAATTGCAGTTGTAAAAATTTGTAAATAAATGTAATTTTTACAAACATGTTCTTAATATGTAAGTTTCATTTTAAGATCCGTTACGCATTGATTACGAAAAATAAAGATGTTCACAACTAGGACATCGTCTATTATACATCCCGTATCCTTGACGTCTTAATCCGATGAAGCGGAACCGTTTATTTAATCAATGACGCATGACAAGATGGTGATTATTGTAACAGTATAACACAGAAAATCAAATTGACTGGAGTTTTTTTTTAAACAAAAGCTATGGATTTTCTTCTAAGGGGAGTGTTATTTTTATCTGTGATTGTCTCCCTTTATGGAATACCCAGGGAAGTTGTCACACCTGTAGGTAAGGTCGCGTGGGACAATGGCTGTCCCATTTTCTATTATTACTTGTCACATTTGTTTTACTTGAGAAAGTAGAATTTGGAACCATCTTAAATTTCAAGAATTTTTTTTATAACAAAACGATTAATGCAGAGAATCTGAACTCCGAGATCATTTTTGAGATATCGTATGCCTATATAAGGATTAATAACACAGCCATACTTCTGTGAGAAATCACCTTTATATCTAATATGTTCATATTTATATAGATATGCCAGAGTAAGTACCAAAATTTTGCAAGAACTTGTAATAATGTCATTAAATGTGGTGCAAAGGACAAGGTATGGTAACGGCCAAGTTCGGCCCCCTATTAGATATGAAAATCAAAATTGCGATAGTTTGCAATTAAGATCTTTAAATACATGTAATGCTTGTTAAAAAAACCAGCTCTAACTTTGATTCAAATCGTACATAGAGGCCAGAAGAGGGTGCCAAAGTAAGACATTTTACCGAATTTTATCAATCCGATGGATTCTTGTCAAATTTGAGATACTTTTCACTTCCATAAACACACAGCACAAGCTTGCCGATCTGAGATTTTTATACGCAGGGTTCATCGGATACCATTAGATGAAATATATAAACTTGGTAGATAGGCAAGATTGTGTTCTGAATATCCTGAAACAAAATATCCTTTAAAATTGACGAAATTTGCACACGCAAAATGAGAAAATTCGGAAAAAGACATATTTTGTGACCTTCCTGTGACTTGTGTGTATCCCATTAAAATATAAAATCAATTAAGAATGAAAGCGGGTTTTTAATGATGAACTATAAGAAGCATAGGCTCTTAGTCCTATCTTGTCTTTTGCATACTTAAGTTTTATATTTTAAAAAAATGGCAAAAAGTCACATATTAGATCACAAGAATTTTGGCAAAAAAAATCTAACGATTTCTTTTTATTTACTGAATTTATTATTTGTGTTATTTTCCTTCAAAATCAGTTCAAAAAATTATATTATTCCATGCGTAATTTTTGGATTGTTTGTTTTATTTCTCCTTGATCTTAAAAGTGTTATTGTGATAATGTTTTAGGAAAAGATCGGGTCAAAAAGACAATTATACTGGACGCTAAAGCCTCACGCGCCCCATATAACAGTAGAACAGAGGGGGCGGGGCACTCTAAGGAGGGTCTGTCCTCCAAACTGATACATGTGGCGAAATCCAAAGATAAGGTGAGTAATTTATTGATGTGATTGTCTACAACCTGATACTAAATGTCGAATCCCTCCTCTCTCTCTCTCTCTCTCTCTCTCTCTGTGTTCTTGTTTAATCTTTTGGTGTTATTTTGTTTTAAAACATCATTGACCAATTATTGTCATATAATTATGCAGTATTTATTTTTAATATCTACGTTCTTATCACTGAAGGAATATATTAATTGTAACGTCATTCGTAAACCAAATGTAGGTATATCGTACAATTCATGTGAAGGAATTCCTATATCTTCAAATTTTTTTCTATCAAACCCGAAAAATTCATTAGTAGAAGCTAATGTCTCGAGTACTGGTATTTTTATTTATGGATATTCAGTTTGTGTAACTGTAATGACCACATACAGTGTCAATGGTTCATGAGTGAAGCAATATCCTATATCGTGTATCAAATAGATCAGACCGGAAATTTATATAATAAAAACAATCATTATTTAACATGTAGTCATTGTCTTTATGTAAGAAACATTTGTGATGTTATTACTTCACAATTAACCCATGAATTTAATTTTAACTTGGATTCATGAGTTAATTCTGAACCACATGTAATGCATACACTCTGTATTAAGGTAGCTTACCCCCAATTAAGGCTTTTTGGTAGGTTCGTCGTCATAGAAAGGTTTGCTGTAACGCTATATATTGATTTTCCAACAGGAATCTATAATTTAAAGAACATATTCTCAGCATACATTGGTGAGGGGGTTGGGGGGAATACAAGATATCAACTTGACAATTTTATGAAAGAATACTAGTCTATTTAGGGTCATCTTTCTTATCTTGCAGTTATGTAACTTGGATTCATAAGACTTTAGTCTTATTCCAGAACCATAATTATGGCATAAATAGACTGTATATAGTAATAAAGCAGCTAAGCTCCAGTTATGACTTTTTTTTCTTTAATTCACACTTTCAAAATTTATCAGAAAGCAAATCGATACCTTTCTGATATAAAATGATTTTCTCATTCCTTGCTATTATGCTAATGCTAGACTAGTCGCCCCCTAGGCTCACTTTTCTAAACACGCTATTTAAGTTATAAGAGGCATTCACATTTTGATGTAATTTTTGGTATGAATTAACATGACACTTTCTACAATAGATAAATACACAAATAAGACACGCCTATTTATTGTTTTATATCACTTTCTCAGGCCAGGCGTCACAGAAGGAGAAAAAGAGATCTAGAACACGACATCCGATCAGGGGACATTTTTGACAAGCCGGTAAGTCTAACCTTTAACCTTTGACAAGCCGGTAAATCTTACCTTTAACCTTCGGAAAGGGGCAAGGAGAAATTCGTAGTTTTCCCTGAGATAAGATGAAATGAGTACATGTGGCGCTATTTAATTATTGTACAATTGATTAATCTGTTATGATTATTATACTTCAGAGACGCCACTGCAGGTATTTCACTGGCGGAATTAACCCCCCCCCTCCTTGTGACCAAAAATATACATAAGTTTAACAAATCAATTTCTTGTTGTGGTGTACTGCATTTATTATACAAAAAGTATAGCCAAAATAAATTTTAAGAAAAAAATGTTTCATAAGACCCCTAAAACTCGAGAGCTTCGCCCCCTGGGCCCCACCCCAGATCCCCAGCTACGCAATATTTTTCCTTCAAGATTATGAACCCTAATTGTACATGTACAACATTATTGAATTTGTAAGTTCCTGTATATGTCAAAATGTTTACCGGTGGGGGGATATTTTGCAATGCCTAAACTTTTGCAAAATCTATCCTAACTTTCGCAAAAAATAAAATCTCCACGAGAACGCTTTTTTGCATAGAAAAAAAAAATTTACCCTATAAAAATATACAAGTTTACGGGTTCATCTTTTTCTTTAAAATCATCTGTAGATCTTGGCACAAAAAAATTATAATACATGTTAATTATATAATTCATATACAAAAACTATAGTGTTTAAGTATTTCTTAAAAGTCTAATTGCTAAATTATTTTCAGATCACCGATGTAGATTCAGAGTTAGCAAGATTAACAGAGGGAATGTTTGTTATGATAAACGGAACAGAGTACCAGGTAAGATTTAGAATTATCGAGATTAACAGAATAACGGAACAGAGTACCAGGTAAAATTTAGAATTAGCGAGATTAAAAGATAAACGGAACAGAGTACCAGGTAAGATTTAGAATTAGTGAGATAGAAAAAAAGTAAGGAAAGAAAAAGAGAAAGAGAGAGACATAACACAAAAACAAAATACACTCCTCCCCCTCAATTGAATTAGAAGCAAAGAATTACAGAAGCATGCCGATTTTTCTATCCTGGCCCGGGGATCATGAAACAGACATACACTTAAATGAAAATTTCAATCATCTATAAAATGTTTATTTCTTGTGAATTGAAACTCTTCATTTGCACACAACAGTCAGCAGTTTGTTGATGCAATGTTAAAAGGCATTTTCATTTTTGGACTGCATGATTTCTAAATCATGTGAGAGCAATATACATTTTTGACTTAAGCTTAAGATGTTTCATGATTCCGGGGCCTGGACTTTAGGCTCCACTATATTTACCATTTTTCAAATATACAAATGCAAAAAAAATTTTTTTCGACAAATTTCTGCGAATGGGGAATTTATATACTGTTGATAATCATAATTGTTAATTGATGTTGCGAATGCATTCCCTTTTTCAATTATACAATCATTATTAAAAGTCAGGTCGTTTTGGTTTTAGTGAAATTTTATCTAATTTTTGTGTTATATAATGTATGTATCCTATAGAATATTTGATCCTCTGATCATTTTATTATTATTTATTTATTTATTTTGGTTCTTATTCATTTCAAACTGTGAACCATGTGTAAATATGTTTGATATAATTCACATGTAGGAACGGGGGCGTATTAAGGTTTAAGAACTTTTGCCCGATCCCATTTGTAAACTTTAAAGTCAATAAAGTGTGTTAAAACCAGACCAAACTATTTTTCTCAGTTATCAGGAATATTCAAGAAAGATAAAAGCTCGAAAGGAAACATAATTTGTTGGTTTTATAATTTCAGTCAAAAGTGGACATGTCCCTCTCCAAGGATCACCAGGGGGAGGAAATGGACTCTCATCGATATTCACATCACCAGAAGGTCATCCGGGGGATGGAGTCTGAATACGTAAGTAGGGGCAACTCGATGAAGTATAAATGTCTATGAGATTGGAGATAAATTTCTAAACGATAAAAGATTTTAAAACATTTTTTTTGTCATTTACCAAATTTTTGAATTCGGTATGTTTTATAGCTAATAGAGGTGTGTGCTGATCACAGTTTAACCCATGGAATTCCATAAAGAAATTATTCGTATTTATAACAATATTAAAAAAAATATTGTATATTACATACTTCCGAATTTATTCATTTTATTTGTACTTTTTAATTCCGTTTTTTTTAGGCCAATGAGACAGATAAGAGGAGACGGAAGCGGAACTTCATTCTCCCCCAGGAATACTTCTGGACGAACGGAATTGTTCCGTATTACATCGACCCAAGCCAAGGTGACATGTCGCCCGGAAGTAGTGGTTATATTACTTCCGGTGTACATTATTTGTACTTTGATGTTACATATCCGCCCTCTGTCTCTAAGTAGGTGAAGGAGATTGTACTAAGGTGGATTTAAAATGCATTGCAATCGATGACTTTATATTTGGAAAGTAAAAAGGACAGAACAAAAATATTTATTCTTTAAAGGAAAAGAACCTTAAGTCCCCCCAACTCTTTTAATTTTAAAAGATGACCCCCCTCCCTTTCTCTGAGCATAGGCGTCGGAACCGGGGGGGAGGGGGGCTTAGCCCCCCCCACTTTTTTTGCAAAGATAGACATAATATAGGCATTGAAAATTAGGGCTTATCTTTTTTCGTTGGTTTAGCCCCCCCCCCCCCCCACTTTCATTTAGCCACCCCACTTTCAATTTGCTTCCGACGCCTATGCTGAGTAATGATAGCTGAACTGAAAAATGAAAACCCGCATCAAAACACATTTTACATACACCTTAGTATTAGAATTTCTTATAATAAGTTGTCAAAAACACATTATCTAGTTTCTGACAATCACTTCTGCTGACAATTTTTTTCTAGCTTTTAGATTATACTGACAAGTGCAACCTAACTGGCATTTTTCCCTTTTTTCTCCCAGGTACCTGGTTTCGGGATATGGTCCTCAACGGAATGAACCAAGTAATGGCCTTGACCTGTATCAAGTTTACGCCCCTGGGGTCAAGTCTGGCCAACTCTGTGGGTCACTCAAACTACCTGTATATATTTTCCTCTTCGTAAGTCTAACTCATTAGAATATCAATATTTATTAATTATAATTAGCCATTGTAACATTGTTATATGTAGCTGCTCTGTCGTGCTTCATGATAGTTTTCAAAAAACAACATTAAAGAAAACTTCATTTAAGATATCTGACTTCACTGTGTAAAGCAAAAAATTAAGTTGAGAAAAAAGATTAACGCTTTCATTTAGACCTAAGCTCGTATGCGCAATTAAAGACAAATAGACACATTGAATAAAATAATGAAAATGACCCACAGAAATTAAATTTAAGCTAAAAAAATGAAAAAGAATATGAAAAAAAAGGTGCGTGTTTTAGTAAGATTTGATTTAAAATGTCAGCAATGAGTTCACGCTTGTATCCGGTGTGAAAAAACAACAAATTTTATATATTTTTTTCCCTTTTCTATATTATGTATATAATTTCATGTAATACCCCTTATTAGAGCTATTATTGAGGGCTGTATTATATATGCTGATTGTGTCGTTTATCTATACAGGGGCTACCGATCCTATCTTATATTTAACTATTTATGTATATATGTATTGATTATGTTGTTTATCTACACAGGGGCTGCTGGTCCTACGTGGGTATGATAGGGTGGGGTCAACAACAACTAAGTCTCCAGAACGCAGGGTGTGTCACAGTAAGTATAGAGTGCTGAGGTCAAGTAAGTTACCGAGGGGCGTCAAACGATAAAGAAGTGGTTTTGAGGAGTGTCAGATAAGCATATGGTTATTAAAAGGCACGGGATATAATGTGAGTGGAATTGAGGAGTGTAACTGTAAGATACCATGAACGTAACGTAAAGTTAATGAAAATGTAACGTGTATTGGTAAGTTTGGGATAATGGGGAGTTAAAATGTAAATAAGTTGTATTGATGACGGTAACGATAAGTTACTGGGCAGTGAATGTTACTGAGACGTGTAACTTAGTAGTTACATGAGCTGGCCGTCAAGTAACCGTAACTAGTAGTTAGATGAGCCTGTCATCAAGTAACCGTAACCTAGTAGTTAGGGGAGCCGGTCATCAAGTAACCGTAACCAGTAGTTAGATGAGCCTGTCATCAGGTAACCGTAACTAATAGTTAGATGAGCCTGTCATCAAGCAACCGTAACCTAGTAGTTAGATGAGCCTGTCATCAGGTAACCGTAACTAATAGTTTGATGAGCCGGCCATCAAGTAACCGTAACCTAGTAGTTAGATGAGCCTGTCATCAGGTAACCGTAACTAATAGTTAGATGAGCCGGCCATCAAGTAACCGTAACCTAGTAGTTAGATGAGCCTGTCATCAGGTAACCGTAACTAATAGTTAGATGAACCGGCCATCAAGTAACCGTAACCTAGTAGTTAGATGAGCCTGTCATCAGGTAACCGTAACTAATAGTTTGATGAGCCGGCCATCAAGTAACCGTAACCTAGTAGTTACATGAGCCTGTCATCAGGTAACCGTAACTAATAGTTAGATGAGCCGGCCATCAAGTAACCGTAACCTAGTAGTTACATGAGCCTGTCATCAAGTAACTGTTACCTAGTAGTTAGGGGAGCCGGTCATCAAGGAAATCGGACTGTCCGAATATGTAAAGGATCTTTCGGGATTAAATAGAATTGGTCAACAGGTTATCTCAGTTAGGGTTTTGTTTTGTTTTGTTTTGTTTTGTTTTGTTTTGTTTTTTTTTTTTGGGGGGGGGGGGGTATGACTAGTTGTAGTGGACAAACTGTTAAAGGAATGTCCTGTGCAGCAAAAGTCCAGTCTACGGAACTCTAAGTCTGAATATTTGTGAAGTTGACATGCAGGCAGGGGAGTTTAAAATCAAAGGTTTACTGGTGTGGCTATGCTATATGTCATTGCAGCTAATTGGGGGAGGGGGGTTATAGTACTATGTTCAATATAGTATAGAGACGTTGTGTGACACTATTAAACAGAACTATAATGCAAGGTTAAGGGGAAGGGGTGTTGTAACGGCTGGATGTGACAGAAGGCTGTCTCAGGAGTTAGACTGTATATGTTTTTTCTTGATAATCTTGCACACAAAGAAATTGCTTGATTTATGTTTTAAAAATATAAATAGCAAATTGTTCATCACCATTCTAAACAACGCGTATGTTTTATCACACGAAGCTAGTTAAAACAAACTAATTCAGAGAATTTGTGTCCCCCGCTTAGGGGAAAAAAGAGCATGCACAGTTGGGGGGGGGGGGTCACACTGCCCTCCTGTATTTGTAGAATTACAAGCTAATTCAGAGAATTTGTGCCCCCCGTTTAGGGAAGAAAGAAGAGCATGCGCAGTTCGGGGGGGGGGGTGTCGGACCCCCCCCCCCGGATTTGTAGAATTATTAAATGTATATTGAAGCAAATAAAAAATGCCAATATGGATATAAAGAATTGATTGCTTATTCTTTAAAATGTGTATAGAAGATATTTTTTATATAGAATATTAATCACACTGTAATGATGATTTTATGAGTTTGTACACACCAGAAGTCATAACTTTTTCATTTCACATGTTGAATACTATCATTTAGTTAATAATAATAATAATAAAAAGAAAAAGGTTCGTCGGGGAATTAAACCCAGGTCTCTCGCTTGCTAAGCCATCATCATACCCCTAGACCACCGAGGACTCTTGATTGTATAGCAGATTAAATGCAAACAGAAGGTCATATATAATGTTTATATTCAGGTTCGATATTGTCAAAATTTTAATCAATACATGGTGTCTAATTTAGCCTTTATTAAACAGTTCTAATAGATGTAAATAGAATATAATGTCCGCCGACAACCTGTATTATACGTAACTCTCCACATGCCCCTGTGCTAAAAATAGTGTCATGCGACTTTTAATACAATGCATGTAAATAATAATTAAAAACGGGATGGGACACTTTGAAAGGGGTGAGATAGGCCCTAGGGAGTTATGAAATAAAATTTCATTGCAAAAGCTCAAAAGCTTCTTGAGATATCGCCCGGAAAAGAAAGTGTTACACAAAGACGGAATGTATAAATTTACGACCTTGAACTCTGACCTTTTGACCTCAAAATCAATAGAGGTCTTTCTTAGGCCACAGGGAGTTGTTATATAAAATTTCATTGCAAATGCTCAAAGGATTCTCCAGATATCGCGTGGAAACGAAAGTGTTAAAACAGACAGAATTTATGAATTTATGACCTTGACCTTTGACCTTTTGACCTCAAAATTAAAAGGGTTCTTTTTTTAGGCCATAGGAAGTTTATTTGCAAAATTTCATTGCAAAAGCTCAAAGGGTTCTCGAGATATCGCGCGGAAACGAAAGCGTTTCAGACAGACAGAAATACAGCTAGACGGACGGTCGGACAGACCCAAATTAATATCCCCCACTTTCAGTGAAATCAGCGGTCAATAATATATAAGCTATTTTAAAGAACATCCGGAATAAAATTAGTATGTGTGTGCTTATTTAATCCTTTGAGGCTGAGAAATCCTTTATTATTTCTTCAGATACCAATTATCATCCACGAATTGATGCATGCTATAGGGATGGAACACGAGCAGTCCCGAACGGACAGAGATGATTACGTCATAATGCATTGGGCCAACATCCGGGGCGGTACTGGTAATCGAAATATGTACAAAATCCCAACCCGGGACAACACGCCGTATGACCTGGCGTCTGTTCTACAGTATAGACTCAATGTAAGGAAACAGCCGTTGTGTTTTATATGATACGCTATTTTACGCCTACAATCACGACGTAGTGGCTGCGTAGCTCTACATAGAACTACGATCTTGAACATTATGCTACTCTAACCAAAGCAAGCTTGTATTCATAGACCTTGTTATAAAGTCTAGCATCTTGTGTTTTCTTTTGAGATTTAACTTTAAAAAAAAGGTTTTCTTTAACTTGAAGATTTGAAATCTTGGATTCGCTCCTGTGCTTTATGTCAAGTATCAGCGGATGTATTTCTATTTTCAGGCGTTTGCGATCGACTATCGCTATCCTACAATTACAGTCAAGGACAACCGGTTATCGTTCTTAGCAGACACTGCAGTAGGACTGATGTTCTACGACACCAAAGACGTCACAATTAATTACCAATGTACTCGTAAGTCAAACTGATGTACCCTCATACTGACGTCACAATTAATTACCAATGTACTCGTAAGTAAAACTGACGTCATAATTACCAATGTTCCCTCGAGCTCATACTGACGTCACAATTAATTACCAATGTACTCGTAAGTCAAACTGACGTCACAATTACCAATGTTCCCTCATACTGACGTCACAATTACCAATGTACCTCATACTGACGTCACATTAATTACCAATGTACTTCAATTCGTAAGTTATTTAAGAAATAATGTATCATTTTGAACATCTATCGGGATATAAATACGGGTTGGTCACGAGATCTCGTACCAACCCGTATTTATATCCCGATAGATGTTTGAAAATGATACATTATTACTTATATTTACATTTATGACTTATTTATATTTTAAACTTGACTGATTATTATCTTTAACGCATGAAATGTTTTATTTTTCAATGTGTTTGATCCATTGATTGGGCGTCGACCCTTTATGACATCATTGAGAAATTACGTCGAACGTTTGTGACGTGAGGAACCCGTGTATTTATACAGATATAGATACGCATTGCTTTTTATAGTGTTATATAAAAGAAAACATTTGCAAATGTAAATATATTGACATCACAATTACCTGCTAGGGATACACTCAGATATTCTAACTTGCCTATAAAATATGACGTCATAATAAGTTACACGATTTATTTCAAGTCCTAGAAATAAATTGAAATATGCAAAACATAATTTAAATTAAATCATGACATTTTTGTAAAGGATTATTAACGATGTATTTGTCACCGGTGTTAAATACCGAACCCATCATAGCTTTTATATCAAAATTTATATTCGGCAAAACGAAACATACCAGAATTCATATAAACAAAAGCATGAAATGGGAGTTTAAAAGAATATACAGTGAATATCACGTGTGATTCAAAAGGAATTAATGTTTAAGTATCAGGTATGATGATTTATTTTCATCATTTCTTCTTATAATTATAAGACAGGCAGTGTTTTGAAATTTCGGTCAGCGCTCAAAAACAGAGATGTGAAAGCTCACAATCACCAATGTATCCTTAGTCATACTGACGTCACAATTATAAATGGAACATAAGTCATACTGATGCCACAACTTCCAAAGTACTGACGTCATATTTATCTATTTACCTTTAAGTCAAACTGACGTCATAATTATTAAGAGCCATTCTCTGTAATGACTTGAACTTTTATATAGGAGCTGTGGCACGCATAGTCTCAGAATTTCTCCAAACTCTCTATGATAAAAGTCTTTGATACCGTAAACTCAAATCAGGCAAAAATTGGTTGCTACGTGTCATGGTTACCATAGCAACATGTCATAACGTTTGAAAAATGGCATTTTTTAACATGTTCAGAGTCCCACAATTAACGTTTGCAGCAAAGCAAACAAGTGGTAATGATTGTTTCTGAAAGTTGAAGGCCTGCTGTCTTAAATGCATGATAAACATGTTTGGTAAATCAACTATTACATACGTTACTATGGAAACAAAGTATTCAAAAGTAATAATTTTGTTCATTTAATTTTATAAAGTCATACACTTAAGAATAAAAAAAATTATAGGTTGAAATGAAAGCAAATAATAGACAAGAGATCCTTGTAACATATACCAAGGACGAAATATGATATTTCTTATAGTTTGACAATGGTTGCCATGGTTTTAATACCAAGAAGGGATTTTAAATTTACTCTTTTAGTGTTTAAATCTTATCCTATTTTTTTAAAAAGCATATTTCTATATAACTGATGATCAATTTTTAAAGGCGTTGGTGTGACCCTAATTTTCACATTTCAAGAAATTCATATTCAATTCTTTAAATAGAGCATTGCTATGGAAATAAGCCGAAAAAATATGCTTAAAAATCTGAAAAATATTTTGTTTCCTTGGATACGTACCCTTGTATGTAGATTCCCAAAACTTTTATGATTGATATATATGAACAATGAACCTGACTTTTAAGTTTGGCTACCACCCAATCTCTAACTGGATGCAAAAAGCTGGCACAAAGGGTTTAATATTGATATAAAATTAACAAAATCGAACATTTTTCCTTCTTGGTAACCATAGCAACAGTGTTGTATTTTTCAACAAATTTTATCAATATATGATATTCAACTTTAGTTCTACCAGATAAGTACTATTAAAGGTGGGTTAAATAATATGTTTCTTGTTGATTAAAAGGTAAGTAAATTCCTAAAGCAGCAAAGAAATATCACTTTGAACAACTGGTACGTTGTTTCCATGGTTACACTGCAAAGTAACAATTAATCCCAATTTTTCTTATGTTGTTGGTGTTGCAAGGTCATAAGGATGTATATGTGCCAGTCATGAATTTTATTGTTTTTCCTCAAGATAGTAGCATTAACCCAATCATAGCAACAGATTTTACATGGTTACACTGTGTTACCATGGCAACCATGAAAGTTATTTTTAGAATAATATTGCCAATACCTAATTACTTAAGGTCAAGTATTTTTTATTGTTTTTCTTAGATTGTTGATTAATTTTGATCATGTAACTTCTATCATTTGTGAATATTGAGCGTTTTTCAGCATTTTTCAGCATCTAAAATGTATTCCAAATGTACCCATGGTTACCACTTACTAACAGATAAATTCTTAATAGTTTCTTTTTAGCAAAAGTGGCAACAAGGTGTCATGTTTTTGGGAGAATGGTTTGTTTGTTTTTCTTGGTCTTTATTTAGGTGTAATAAAGATTCAAAGTAGCTGAAAATCTCAATTTTTTCAAATTTTCTGGCTGTTACCATGGCAACCAAGACACATAGCAACGAAATTTTATTTGATATATATTTCTGGTGTTAAGTTGTTATAATGGGCAAAGTTTCGTCCAAATCGATGACCATGCGTGGCAAAGAAGTTTAAGTGGTTACAGAGAATCGCTGTTAAAATACTGATAATCTGGTTTAATAAATCGTCTCTGATTGTTTCGGTGTGATAAAAGAGTTATGGAATGGGTACTCGGAAGATATCAAATTTATGGTTCCCCTCGGCAAGAAACTATTTCCTTCAGCAATCGTCAGAAAGTTTTTATCAATAAGGTGTATTATGCGTATCAATTTCTTCTATGGAACTTGATTTCTGTAACAACGTTTTTTTTAATTTATAGAACGTGTAAATCTGCCAGTCTATTTCTATTTAAACAACAATGTGTATATCCACCCACCTGTTTCTATTTTTAGAACAATGTGTGAATCCGCCTACTTGTTTAAATGGAGGATTCCTGCTTCACACTTGTCAGTGTTACTGCCCGGCTGACCTATACGGGACTTCTTGTGAATTCGTGTCCACCCATTCGGGTCTGTATTTTATAAAACTGTCTGGCGGAGAAAATACTTATCTTATGTGGGTTGTTTAACTGATGAAGATAAAGCTGCAATCATTGACAGTAGAGATTATTGAGCTTAAGATGCACTAAATGTGTGAATCAAAGTAAACTTTTAGAGTATAATTACACATAATCAAACAAGACCCACGCGTGTGTTTACAGAGTGTGGGGGAATTATTGAGCTGGCTTCAGGGGAGGAGCGGACCATCACGACACCTGGCTGGCCCAACACATACAACCTGGGCAGGAGGTGCATCTGGGTCGTCAAGGTAAGCCTAGTTACACCATACTATACAATCTGGGCAGTAGGTGCATCTGGGTCGTCAAGGTAAGCCTAGTTACACCATACTATACAATCTGGGGAGGCGGTGTATCTGGGTCGTCAAGGTAAGCCTAGTTACACCATACTATACAATCTGGGCAGGAGGTGTATCTGGGTCGACAACGTAAGCCTAGTTACACCATACTATACAATCTGGGGAGGCGGTGCATCTGGGTCGTCAAGGTAAACCTAGTTACACCATACTATACAATCTGGGGAGGCGGTGTATCTGGGTCGACAAGGTAAGCCTAGTAACACCATACTATACAATCTGGGGAGGCAGTGTATCTGGGTCGTCAAGGTAAGCCTAGTTACACCATACTATACAATCTGGGCAGGAGGTGTATCTGGGTCGTCAAGGTAAGCCTAGTTACACCATACTATGCAATCTGGGGAGGCGGTGTATCTGGGTTGTCAAGGTAAGCCTAGTTACACCATACTATACAATCTGGGCAGGAGGTGTATCTGGGTCTTCAAGGTAAGCCTAGTTACACCATACTATACAATCTGGGCAGGAGGTGTATCTGGGTCTTCAAGGTAAGCCTAGTTACACCATACTATACAATCTGGGGAGGCGGTGTATCTGGGTCGTCAAGGTAAGCCTAGTTACACCATACTATACAATCTGGGGAGGCGGTGTATCTGGGTCGTCAAGGTAAGCCTAGTAACACCATACTAGACAATCTGGGGAGGCGGTGTATCTGGGTCGACAAGGTAAGCCTAGTCACACCATACTATACAATCTGGGCAGGAGGTGCATCTTTGTCGTCAAGATAAGCCTAGTTACACCATACTATACAATCTGGGGAGGCGGTGTATCTGGGTCGTCAAGGTAAGCCTAGTAACACCATACTATACAATCTGGGGAGGCGGTGTATCTGGGTCGTCAAGGTAAGCCTAGTTACACCATACTATACAATCTGGGCAGGAGGTGTATCTGGGTCTTCAAGGTAAGCCTAGTTACACCATACTATACAATCTGGGGAGGCGGTGTATCTGGGTCGTCAAGGTAAGCCTAGTTACACCATACTATACAATCTGGGCAGGAGGTGTATCTGGGTCGTCAAGGTAAGCCTAGTTACACCATACTATACAATCTGGGCAGGAGGTGTATCTGGGTCGACAACGTAAGCCTAGTTACACCATACTATACAATCTGGGGAGGCGGTGTAACTGGGTTGTCAAGGTAAGCCTAGTTACACCATACTATACAATCTGGGGAGGAGGTGTATCTGGGTCGTCAAGGTAAGCCTAGTAACACCATACTATACAATCTGGGGAGGCAGTGTATCTGGGTCGACAAGGTAAGCCTAGTAACACCATACTATACAATCTGGGCAGGAGGTGCATCTTTGTCGTCAAGGTAAGCCTAGTTACACGATACTATACAATCTGGGGAGGCGGTGTATCTGGGTCGACAAGGTAAGCCTAGTAACACCATACTATACAATCTGGGGAGGCAGTGTATCTGGGTCGACAAGGTAAGCCTAGTAACACCATACTATACAATCTGGGCAGGAGGTGCATCTTTGTCGTCAAGGTAAGCCTAGTAACACCATACTATACAATCTGGGGAGGCGGTGTATCTGGGTCGTCAAGGTAAGCCTAGTTACACCATACTATACAATCTGGGCAGGAGGTGTATCTGGGTCTTCAAGGTAATCCTAGTTACACCATACTATACAATCTGGGGAGGCGGTGTATCTGGGTCGTCAAGGTAAGCCTAGTTACACCATACTATACAATCTGGGCAGGAGGTGTATCTGGATCTTCAAGGTAAGCCTAGTTACACCATACTATACAATCTGGGCAGGAGGTTTATCTGGGTCTTCAAGGTAAGCCTAGTTACACCATACTATACAATCTGGGGAGGTGGTGTATCTGGGTCGTCAAGGTAAGCCTAGTTACACCATACTATACAATCTGGGGAGGCGGTGCATCTGGGTCGTCAAGGTAAGCCTAGTTACACCATACTATACAATCTGGGGAGGTGGTGTATCTGGGTCGTCAAGGTAAGCCTAGTTACACCATACTATACAATCTGGGCAGGAGGTGTATCTGGGTCGACAACGTAAGCCTAGTTACACCATACTATACAATCTGGGGAGGCGGTGTATCTGGGTCGTCAAGGTAAACCTAGTTACACCATACTATACAATCTGGGGAGGTGGTGTATCTGGGTCGACAAGTTAAGCCTAGTAACGCCATACTATACAATCTGGGGAGGCGGTGTATCTGGGTCGTCAAGGTAAGCCTAGTTACACCATACTATACAATCTGGGCAGGAGGTGTATCTGGGTCTTCAAGGTAAGCCTAGTTACACCATACTATGCAATCTGGGGAGGCGGTGTATCTGGGTTGTCAAGGTAAGCCTAGTTACACCATACTATACAATCTGGGCAGGAGGTGTATCTGGGTCTTCAAGGTAAGCCTAGTTACACCATACTATACAATCTGGGCAGGAGGTGTATCTGGGTCTTCAAGGTAAGCCTAGTTACACCATACTATACAATCTGGGGAGGCGGTGTATCTGGGTCGTCAAGGTAAGCCTAGTTACACCATACTATACAATCTGGGGAGGCGGTGTATCTGGGTCGTCAAGGTAAGCCTAGTAACACCATACTAGACAATCTGGGGAGGCGGTGTATCTGGGTCGACAAGGTAAGCCTAGTTACACCATACTATACAATCTGGGCAGGAGGTGTATCTGGGTCTTCAAGGTAAGCCTAGTTACACCATACTATACAATCTGGGGAGGCGGTGTATCTGGGTCGTCAAGGTAAGCCTAGTTACACCATACTATACAATCTGGGCAGGAGGTGTATCTGGATCTTCAAGGTAAGCCTAGGTACACCATACTATACAATCTGGGCAGGAGGTTTATCTGGGTCTTCAAGGTAAGCCTAGTTACACCATACTTTACAATCTGGGGAGGTGGTGTATCTGGGTCGTCAAGGTAAGCCTAGTTACACCATACTATACAATCTGGGGAGGCGGTGTATCTGGGTCGTCAAGGTAAGCCTAGTTACACCATACTATACAATCTGGGGAGGCGGTGTATCTGGGTCTTCAAGGTAAGCCTAGTTACACCATACTATACAATCTGGGCAGGAGGTGTATCTGGGTCGTCAAGGTAAGCCTAGTTACACCATACTATACAATCTGGGCAGGAGTTGTATCTGGGTCGACAACATAAGCCTAGTTACATCATACTATACAATCTGGGGAGGCGGTGCATCTGGGTCGTCAAGGTAAACCTAGTTACACCATACTATACAATCTGGGGAGGCGGTGTATCCGGGTCGACAAGGTAAGCCTAGTAAAACCATACTATACAATCTGGGGAGGCGGTGTATCTGGGTCGTCAAGGTAAGCCCAGTTACACCATACTATACAATCTGGGCAGGAGGTGTATCTGGGTCTTCAAGGTAAGCCTAGTTACACCATACTATACAATCTGGGGAGGAGGTGTATCTGGGTCGTCAAGGTAAGCCTAGTTACACCATACTATACAATCTGGGCAGGAGGTGTATCTGGGTCTTCAAGGTAAGCCTAGTTACACCATACTATACAATCTGGGGAGGCGGTGTATCTGGGTCTTCAAGGTAAGCCTAGTTACACCATACTATACAATCTGGGGAGGCGGTGTATCTGGGTCGTCAAGGTAAGCCTAGTTACACCATACTATACAATCTGGGGAGGCGGTGTATCTGGGTCGTCAAGGTAAGCCTAGTAACACCATACTATACAATCTGGGGAGGCAGTGTATCTGGGTCGACAAGGTAAGCCTAGTTACACCATACTATACAATCTGGGCAGGAGGTGCATCTTTTTGTCGTCAAGGTAAGCCTAGTTACACGATACTATACAATCTGGGGAGGCGGTGTATCTGGGTCGACAAGGTAAGCCTAGTAACACCATACTATACAATCTGGGGAGGCGGTGTATCTGGGTCGTCAAGGTAAGCCTAGTTACACCGTACTATACAATCTGGGCAGGAGGTGTATCTGGGTCTTCAAGGTAAGCCTAGTTACACCATACTATACAATCTGGGGAGGCGGTGTATCTGGGTCGTCAAGGTAAGCCTAGTTACACCATACTATACAATCTGGGCAGGAGGTGTATCTGGATCTTCAAGGTAAGCCTAGTTACACCATACTATACAATCTGGGCAGGAGGTGCATCTGGGTCGTCAAGGTAAGCCTAGTTACACCATACTATACAATCTGGGGAGGTGGTGTATCTGGGTCGTCAAGGTAAGCCTAGTATCGAAGGAAGGTCAAGATCTATATATCTTTGATTTTAAACAGATGACACAGTCTGTTTTATTGTCGGAAGTCAGTTATTTGTCTAGGTTTTCAATATCACCTTTTTGTGACTTTCTCCGACTTCTCTTTATTATTGGTAGACTGCATTTTTTTCTATCTTACTGACCCAGCCCCCTTTCATTCAATTGACCCAGACCTTCAGTATTTGAAATTGTTTTAAGTTCAACATTATATTTACATGATATTTATATTTAGGGTCCAACAGAAAACCATATAAAGATGTCTATAGATACGTTGGCACTGAATTACAACAACAACAATTGTTATCACTGGTTGGAGGTCCGCTATAATCTGGCGGGGCAGAGGGGTCCAAGGTCAGTATGGACCAATAGTCTGCTAAATAGTTAAAGATTTAGCCGAGGTCAATATTGACCAATAGTCTGCTAAATTGTTAACGATTTAGCCATGGTTAACATCAGCCATTGGACTTTTGCGAGAAGCACTGACTTTTACACTCGATGGGTTACTTTGACATTTAAACATGTTACATGTATGTACGTAGGTACGGAATGATAATAGATAAGAAAACATTACTAGTGGTCATAGGTATGGTTTTAGGGGCACTTACATGACTGACCAGTATGCAGTCAGCAAAAAAGATGATTGGAGGCAGAATAACATAACCTATAATACCTTATTGGTAAGGTGTAGTATTTCCTTTCAATCTCATTTTCTGAAGGAATCAAATAAGCAAGTAAAAATACTCTAGAAGGAAAACTTAGCAGGAGTTGGTCAAGGTTGGAAGGGAGGGGGTTTAAGATAGGGTGTTTCTCGTTCACCTCCCTAGACAACGTAATATGTGCTTTGAAATGCCCCATTATTATCGCTTAATTAACTGCTAGGCTATAGATTTATATTGCAAAAGAGATTCCGTATATTGTCCCAGTGTAAAAGTAATTCGTTGATTGTAAAAGTCAGCGATTCTCGCAAAAGTGCGGTAGTCAGATAAATAATTAAACATTAAGCCGAGGTCAACATCGACCAATAGTGAGATAATTACATGTAATATGAGATTGCCAATGTCAAAATAATAACCATATGTCACCTCAAAAGTAAAAGATAAAGCCGAGGTCAATATTGACCAATATTCAACTAAACACATGTAATATGATTAAGCAGAGGTCAAAATATCGACGAATAGTCAGCTTAATAAAGATTTAGCCGAGGTCAATATCGACCAATACCCAGCTTATTAGATAAAGATTAAGGTGAGACCAATATCAATAGTCAGTTAAATAGTTTCAGATTAAGCTTACATCGACCACAAGTCATCTTGGTGTTAAAATAAAAATTTATGATGTTTTTGTTCGTTTTATGTATTAAAGATTATGTGGATACAGAAGCAATGAAGCTTACGTGACGACAGACGACGAAATCAAAAGTCAAATGATCATCAAATTTGACAGTCTGACGACGAACCGGGCAGCATTAGCGGGATTCTCCATCCGAGTCCAGAGCCTCAACTCAGGTAAAAAAACAGCGCAAATTATCAACTCAAATGTAACAAAACCAGCGCAAACTATCAACTCAGGTAAAAAGCAGCGCAAACTATCAACTCAATTGTATCAAAACCGGCGCAAACTACCGGTATTAACTCAGGCATAAAAAACTCATCACAAATTATCAACTCAGGTATAACAAAACCAGTGCAAACTATCAATTCATCATTACATATTTATTGCAACAAAGTTATATACACTTGTAAATAAACTGAAACTTAATTTCTTCTGAGATGCCTAGATATAATAGATCTATATGAAAGGAGACCCCAGTATTTTGCAGCATTTTTTGTATACGGTTGTTTCTGAATTTTAACTGAACAACTTAATAGGTTGTCTGAATAATCACTGTATGTTTGGAACCTGCCGGATCTCGGACGGAGTTTGTGTCTGTAATACCGGATTTTCCGGATCCAGATGTGACCAGATAGCGGACAGTAAGTTTATCAGAACTAATGGTTCACTAAGTGCTAAATGGATGTATGATTGACTGAAAAACCTAAAATTAATGTTAACCCATTGATCAAGTCTTGTTGACAAGATACTTATATAGGATTTTTTTTTGTCGCCTAAAACAATTCTCTCTGTAAATGTAACAATACTTAAAACTTTACTTTTAATTATTATTTTAATTAACAGATTTCAGCCTCACGGCAACTTTCGAGACCGGGGCTGGGTTACCCTTCCTACAAAACGAGGGGAACGCGTACGATTGGAGTCTAAGATCGGTAATGTGACCCCTTTTTACCGCATTATTCACTGCTTGTTTCATAATACTTCGTTGAATTTATGTTTTGTCATCATTAGTAGCTATGTTTACTCAGTACAAATTTGTGTCAATATTAGGAGTACTCAAGTATAAACATTTTTTTCATTTAAAAAAACATACATCACTGAAATGCATTTTATTTAATTAATTTAAAAACAATTTATAACATTATGTTAGTCATGCTTAGAAATTTTAAAAACAGATTGACGATGGATAATTTTAATGATTAAATAACGACTTATTATTTTAATGTTTAAGTAATGCCTTTTTATTTTAATGTTTAAGTAACGCCTTTTTATTTTAATGTTTAAGTAACGCCTTTTTATTTTAATGTTTAAGTAACGCCTTTTTATTTTAATGTTTAAGTAACGCCTTTTTATTTTAAGGGTTCTACACCGAGCAATAACACTGGTCCACCAGGGGCACAAGAGGGTACAACTTATATCTACCTAGAAACGTCTTCTCCACGCGCGCCGGGTGACACTGCTACTCTGACGTCATCAGCGGTCACATTTTCACTGGGTGAGTTCGTTTATTATTATTGATTTTTATCTCTTTCCTTTCTTAATATTTTTGTTTTCCAACTTTATCATTATTTTTTTTTTTCAATCGTACATTTAGCTATCTCCCGTTGCTTGAAGTTCTATTATTCTATGTACGGGGCAAATATGGGGACACTGAACGTTTATTATCAGAGCGGAACTGGAGTCCGAACCTTGGCCTGGTCACGCTCAGGTGATCAAGGAGACCAGTGGAATTATGCGGAGGTGGAAATTCCCAATGTCTCCAATGTTAGGGTGAGGAGTATTTCTGTGTGTATGTAACAATTTTTACATTCCATATATTTTGCTTAGAAATTGACGGCATTCAAAACACCATAACACGGACAGGGGGTCAAAAGGTTAAAGTATGCGTTTTATTTTGACATCACAAACGTTGAACGCCGTAGAAGTGCAACGTCATAAGCGAAAATCAAAATTCACGCTCACTTTGAAAAGAAGCTGATGGAATGGTTCTTCCATTAATTGTAATTTACCCGAAGGATAATACAGGGATTTTGAAATAAAAATCACATTTGCAGTCAAGGCAAGAAGTTAAAAATGTAAATATAAGCATTAAATCATTATTTTTTGAAAGATATAGTCTCATAATTGCAACGGTGTGTGCAAACAAATTTTCACAACGTGCTAACGCGCGTTACTCAATTAAACACACTGTTGCAGTTATGAGAATATATATTTCAAAATAATGATTCAATGCTTAAGTAACATTAATTTACTTTTAATATACATATATTTAATGCATTCGTACCTGCAAAACATCTTAACTTGTATAAATTTATTTTTCAATAATTTAATTTTTTTTTCATTATCCTCAGGTGTCCTTTGACGGAGTACGAGGGAACGGCCATCTCAGTGACATAGCTCTGGATAACGTTCAACTGATTAGTGCTACTTGTGGTATATATCTATATAATATCTAATCCATGTTTATCAATACTTGAAATCAAAGAAATCACATTTTTTTAATGATTATACCGTATTCTTCGCCAGCAATAGGCATAAATTTGAATAGATTGAAGCCCTCTCCTCCCGAATTCTGAACAACAAACCGTTTATTTTGATAGTTTGATTACTGATTAGACTGATAACTAAGTGCGGCTGAAAATTCTAAAAGACTTGTTCATTTTAAAGCATCATTAGCAACGACCACAACTACGCCCACAACAACAACCACGCCTACAACGACAACCACGCCTACAACGACAACCACGCCCACAACTACGACAACACCCACCACTACGACCACGCCTACAACTACAACCACGCCAACAACTACAACCACGCCAACAACAACCACGCCCACCACTACGACCACGCCTACAACGACAACCACGCCCACAACTACAACAACGCCAACTACTACAACCACACCCACTACTACGACCACGCCCACCACCACGACCACGCCCACCAGTACTTCAACATCCACCACAACTACACCAACAACTACTTTTCCAACAGCTACTGTTGGTAAATACTGTAGTCTTCTCTTCTTGCGAGGGTGTTGCAACACAGAATACAAAATGATTATTAAGGTCTTCCAAGTTTCTTCGGAAGACCTTATTGTTTTTCTTCTGTTTTTCATTATTTTTAAGGTCTTCTGTATTCAACGGAAGACCTTCTTGTTATTCTGTTGTTTCTTTTTCACTTTAATAAAGGTTTTCAGACTTGCTTCGGAAGACCTTATTGTTCTCCATCTGTTTGCTATTATGAATATTATTTTTATTATCATAATTATTCTTATTTCATAGTACGGCCGATATCTCAGCTGAGAGTGTACGGATTTCAAAGATTTTTATAGGGAAGATGCATCATGAAATTTATCAACAGATGTTTTTTTTTTTTTTTTTTTTTTCAAATTTCACTTCTGTTTGGGATCTTTGGGGAAAGAGCAAGGGCCACTTGGGGCTTTTTTTGGCCCTGTAAATTTCTGAAAAATTAAAACTGTATAGTTTTAGTCGACAAGGCAATAAATATTACTTGAACACTTGGTGACTGAATTTCTACTAAAAATGACATAATTTTCTTGATAGTCAGTGCATTATGACGTCATGAATTGCGTCATTATTCACATATCCCGAATATTTCTTCAAAAATGGCCAAAATATGATGCTATTTTTCAATATTTCGTATACACCACAACTTCCGATCCAAAATGTGCAAATATATTACGAAAGAACTGCTTATTAAGATTATAAAATATATTTTAATTTTTGGGTCGAGGGGTGTGCTCATATTTTAATTCTTTGTTGAAGGTTCTCAAATTCACCTGTTTTCTGCAAAATTCAAGAACATTGAAATTTCACACAACCTGTTTTCGAGTACCTGGACTCTTTAGAGGAGACTTTTATATACAAACTGAAAGCGCAAAGTCTCTACTTTATATTGATGTTGAGAAAGGGACATAGTGTGTTAGTGGATAAATTGGTTTACAATGTATCTACAGGGCCATTTTATGCATAAAGTGAACCTAGCTCTTTGTATTTTTTAAATGGAATTTTGTCACATAATTTTTCGAGAACGGCTTAAGATATGAAAGTGAAACTCGCATATATGATAGGGCATCACATGGAGATGTGTTGATTGACCTTCCAATTTCATCATTCTTACTTCCGGTCGCAAAAGGAAGGGATTGAAAAAAGTTCAATTTTTCAACTTTTTTGTTTTTCAATATTTTTATTTAGGATTTATATGGTTTATATAGTGTCTTGTAAGAATTGTAAATATGTTTTCAATATCTATATGCGTATGTATTGCAAAGATATGACCGATCCAAACTTTGTCACGCTGTCAGGGGTTCGAATCCCGATGGGGGCAGTAATTTTGTTTCTTTGTTTCTCTCTTTTTTCAGCATCAAATGACTTTTCTCTCTTTTAAAACATGTATGAAAGTTTTTAAGGATTTTCAAAAGCTTTTTTATTAGAGTTTCTGTAGAAAACCTTTTTATAATCATGACTGTGGTACATGAACGTTAACGAAAAAAAATTCAGTAATGTATTTAATGGGATGACGTAACAAATCATTCTTGAGAAAAGTCGATCGGAAGACCACTTGTTACTCTAGCAACAAGATCGCATCTGCTTTATGTTTATTACTTGAAAGACAAAATTCTGAAGATTTCTTTTTTACGGTTCAATGTTTATTATTTATTAAGGTCTTCCGTTTCCAACGGAAGACCTTCTACTGATTCTGATGGTTAAGATTATTATTCTTTTTTTTTTTCTTCTTTTTCCTAGACGCCAACTTTGAGACCTCATATCTCGCTCATTTCTCAACGGATTTTGCTCAAATTTGCAGAGTTTATAGACGTTACAAAACTCTATCAGAATGCTGTCAAACAGTTCAAAAAGTCACTTCCGCTTTTGAGTTATTGCCCTTTAAATGAAAATTTATTAGGCTTCATTTCCAGACAAAGGCTCTGAGACTACAAAAGCTGGAGCAGAAATTCTACCAAATTAAGATAATAGAAGGATTGAAGTTGTGCACATCGGTTTTTGTTTTTCGATTTCTGTATTCAAAATGGCGCTAATTAGGGGTCAAAATTTAGAACGCCTAAAAGAGCGAAAATTTAGACATATTTTCCTTTGTATCTTTAAAACTAAAAATATGTTGATAAGACATGTAGAACAAAAGTTGTGCACAATTTCAAGGCCTTTTATTTGACACCACTAAAATGGGGCTGGCCCCTCAAATTAGGGATCTGGAGCCCTTTAAAGTTTTTGCTTTATAACTCAAAAACGGTAAATATTTCGAAATGGCTGTCGTTAAAAAACTTGTTCTTTAACATCTTATTGATTTCATGAAAATGTTATTTTGTTCGAATCTTGTGTTTTAAATGCGCCAGAAGCTTGACCCATTTACAGGTAACTGTTTTCATTCAGCAAGTAAACGAGAGCTCTTCATGCGTGTAACTAAAATAAACTTACTATAAATAATAAATCTGGCTACATTAGATGCTAATATTCTTTAGAATAAGGTTCTTGAAGTGTTTTGTGCTTTATTTCCAAGTTATTTTTTGACAACTTTTCGTTTTATTTCATTTTTTTCAAAGTCGAATAAACCAGTCTACTAAAAAAAGGGGAAAAAAGATAACCTTTTCTTCTTATCATATAAAAACAAACAATATACTGAGAAAATAAAACATAACTTTGAAGCATAGACTATTTACAGCCATTAAGTGTGCGCCTTTTACATTCACCTTGTGTGTTTGCAATTATGTAACACCTCCCTCGATAGCGCGTAGCAAAGGAGGTCACCGGGGATCGATCGGCGTGTGTGATCCAGCGACCTAGTCATACAAAAAACAAATCATAGAATGGCCATTCCAAATTCATTTTGTAAACTAAGTCATGAGTGGATAAATATGTTGAATTTTTCAGATTATTTCATAATATCTTTGATAAAATCGCTAATGTATTTTATTTAATATTTTATTCGCTGAATTCGAGAAAGTTGCATAGTTATTTTTATAAACAATTTATTTCTCGATATCGAGTTAATTGTCTGTTTTATTCATAATAAAATTCAAAATATGTAACCTTGATTAATTCCTACTAGTAATGGAACTTTTGAAACTTAAATGTACATGTATGTAATCTAATATACGTTCTTTTGTCGACGCCCTTAAAATGTACAACTGTATATATACAAAGCGCCCCAAATATATGCATATCGAGCGTATGGAAATACAAAATCCCACATTCACACGCGCCTCCAAAATATGTAGAATGAGACATACATGTGTAACTGTATTTGAATATTACAAATTTATTAGACACCTAACCTTGGACAAATTATTTTTTTCTACTAAACTTGTTATTGTATGCGAACAAAATGAAAAACGTAATTATTTATAGGTTCCCATTATTTTTTCTGAAAATCAGAACACATTTATCAGCTCTCTTAAGGTTTTACGGATACATACAATGTACACGCATGCAAGTACAGAACATGCACGTTTTATAAGTGCATATGCAAGAGCGCCCCAAATATATGCATATCGAGCGTTTGAAATTCAGAAAAATTCTAAATCCCAAGTCTTTTTTTCCCATTATCTTTGCAATAAAATATCAGTTAAACTGAAATGATTTTATTGATTTACAGCATATATTAAAGTCAATTATAGGTCCGCTGAGTTGATCATGAGTTGTTTTCATAACGGGTAGTCCTTCTGGCCAGTCATCGTCACGGTTTGTAACATCGTAATTACACAGGTAAATACTAAGATGTTCCATAAGAAATGAATTACCGGGAGATGTCTCGTTTTCTCTGATCATATATTAATTGACAGCGTTTATGAACAGCTGTTAAATCACAGGCCTTTGTAAACCGGTAAATCACAAAAAAGAAAAATCCGAGACAAAAAACAGAAAATATAAATGTCTCTGGAAATAACATTGCCTTTAGATAACTAAAATAAATTAAAGTCCGCCGATTTTTGAATTAATCTGAACATTCATTGATGTGTACCTGTACAAGCAGTGTGTATATTTTTATGAAGCCTTCGTCCAAACGAACAATATCATAAATCTTGAATGAATTAACTAACCCCTCAGTACACACACATTCGCCTACACCTGAAATCTAATCAAAATCAGATCTTTTTTACGACCCGAAATTCTGATAGTCGCTGTATTTCTAATCTGATTGACTATACATGTACAGTACATGCAACGCGGATCCCGTATTTCCTGCGCCCCGTCGCGGTATAAACACAACGCTGGATTTGGCCAGGTGAGACTGGTAAACCGCGTTCCCTCCGCGGGAAATTCATCACCTACCTGTCCCCGCCGCGGTTAAATCATCGATCAACTAGTATCGTAAACAAACGGGAGTTATCTCCCCGAACAGGAATTTTGCGAAATTCCCTCTTTAAAAAAAAAAACAAAATAAAATCCCGCAGTGTATGTATATTTATGAAAGTATTTTCTTGTATTTCGAAAAAGGTGAAAATAATGAATGAACCCCCCAAAAAATGTAAAGCAGAATATATTTAATCGTTTTTTTTTTTTAATTTTATTTATTATTATTAATTTTGTTAAGTTATATATCAATACTAAAGCGACATCTTTTTTTAAATAGTATCAAGAAAACTATTTATAAGCTGAGTCATTTGAGAGTTTAACGTGACAAATTTTAATGTCGGAAATATAAGTTCTAATAACTTCTCTTTTCAAATTATATGCGAACTGCAATGTTACATACACGTGCTAAACAATAGTCAGTGCGAGTTCCGATTAACAGTTTTTAGCATTCCTATGAGGAAGAAAATATATCTATATACTGTTCATGTTTTTTTTTTTACCAAATTTAGAAAAATATAATTCATTTAAATAATTTCACTTAACTGTATTAATGTGCAAGCATTTCCCTGAAATTGTCGAATGACCGGAAAGCTGTAATATTCGATGGTGAGCGTTTGCATTGAGTAGGCGGGCGCGTGAACGTTATAAAAGATATCAATAAAATATAACAATTTTTTCCCTCGATATTTACTTCTTTTGTAAACAGTGGTTTGTTTTTAATTTAAACATTTCTCCAATTACAGAAGATGGAATGTGCATGGTGATGAACTTCACAAAACAATTAAAACGGGGGGGGGGGGGGGGTATATCACTAAAACTTATTATTCTCAATAATACTCAAGAAAAAAAATCAATGCCAAGTTTACTTGAATATATTCTGTTTCTTTGTGTATTAAGTATTAGTCGCGATCATTTCCTGTGTATAGGGATTAGCAGAGCAAGAGCAGGAAACGGCATGCCCTAGGGGTTTCACACCTGTCCTAGAGTACCTGTGGTAAATTTCTCTGCATGTGCAAGGCGTTGTCTAGCCATACAACACACCAGTCCCTTCAACGTTTCATTATTTCATTATTTCTTCATTTTCAAATGTAACTACAACAGGGATGGGGTAATTGAAAAAAGTAATTGTAATTGACTGTAATTAATTACATTTTTTGAAGTAATTGGAAGTAATTTGTAATTGAACATTTTTTCAATTACTTGTAATTGTAATTTAATTAATTACACTGAAAAAATACCACGTAATTTCAATTACTTTTTCAATTACATTCAATTACTTTATATAATACACATTCATGATATATTCATGATATATCGTCACCACTACCTCCCCATTTTACTGGTTTTTATTTTATTGTTAAACATATCCTCAATCCTTCATTTATACAAAATCTTAGGTTAATGCTTACAAAATAATTAAATGATTGGCTTGATAATAATAAACTAGTTTATTTCTAATCATTATGTAAATTTTGAATTTTTTTTATCTATGATTATAAATGAATTTTGAACCACCTATCTTAGGTCTATTCAGCTATGAAACACACATTTATTATATTTCAATCTTTGTTGTTTGATCAATAATAAAGAAAAAGAAGGTGTGTGTCATTAATTAAGTTCTCTCTTGTTGGGAAGAGATAATTGCCCTCCAGATCACAGCTTTAAATTGCAATCAAAACAAATCAACTCCTCTAAAGAGATATTCATTCCATGATTTAGAAGACAAAGCCAATGAAGATAATTATTTCAATTTAAAATGCTCCGCTAGCTTTAGAAAAAAAAAGCTTTCAATTTGATAATTATTTTAACATCTAAACAGATTTTTATGAATGAATTTTCTATCTGTACAATTCTGATTTATGAAGTAAAATTGTTCAACATAAATAGCAATTTAGGATGTTCAGGTTACCTTCAAAGGAAATATTTAATTTGAGGGGTTACAGTTGCGATTCATTTCACTCTATTAAAATACACACTTTTAATCAAATATCATAAGCCATGCAATTTGTGTACATGTAGGTTTTGTGTGGGGGAAACTGCATCATGCAAACTGGGATAGTTCTTTAAGGAGATTCTTATTGTTTTGTAAATAAATGTTATAAAATTTAATTAAACCAACAACGATACACAATGCCTATATATAGCATATTATTTCTTGTACTGTTTGTGCAGAGGCTGAGCTTATATACAAATAAATGATGTTCTGTATATTCATTGACAAGGATTATAAAAATTTTCAAAAAATTAAAAATGTAATTTGTAATTTAATTAATTACTTTTGCAAAGTAATTGTAATTTAATTAATTACATGTCTTAGAAAGCCTGTAATTTAATTGTAATTTAATTGAAGAAAAAGTCAAAGTAATTGTAATTTAATTAATTACTTTTTAAAGTAATTGACCCCATCCCTGAACTACAACCATGAAAGTTACGCGAGTCAATATATACTTTTTTTCTTTACCCTGAGTGTATGTTAAAAGGAAAAAGATCAATCATACTTTTAAAACAAATTAATAGAGTTTAAATGAAATAAAATAGATCAAATCAAATTATGTTTTATTACTTTTTTTTAAATGCCGACGGACTTGGTATTTATGTTTCTGTTCAATATATATGTACATGTACATGTGCATATATTATGCAAGTAGAATGTAAAATAAAAAAAAAACGTACAGGATGTTACGGCACGTGCAACGTTTTTCCTTCGGTCAGTTTATTGATTTATCGAGTCCATCGATTAAAACAAAATATTCATGATAGAATTTCAATGAAATGAATTGCTTCTGGATTATTTTTTTCAAGTTTCAATATGTCGTTTCTGTGAACAGATAATATACTGTAGCCGATTTATCAGTTTATTGTCCAGTTGTGGACTTTGACTAATTCTACGATCAAGTTTCTGAAAAACACCGAAATAGTGACAGCTACAGACACTATTTAAGGTCTTCCGTATAAATAGCACGATTAAAGACAAAAAATATCTACCGAAACAAGATCATCGTCGCAAGCCACGGGTTTTGTGTCCATTCTATTTCCACAAACCCGTGGCTGCCTCCTACCAAATTCTCTCGTTCTCGCGACTGAATCATTGAATATTTATTAAGTGACGCCAGATTTACCCTGACCAATGAAATCACTCTGTAGCAATTTTTGGTACGCTTAAATGGCGGTGCCCATAATGAAATCATGTTTGCAAAGCGTGGCAGATTTATTGAAAAAAAAATACGATAGATCCTGAAGAACAGATGTGAGTAACGTATATTCTAAAATACTTACAAGGTTTTACATTAAAATACAGGGTTTCGAATGTAGACGTTGTGTGAGAACGCTGAATAGCGTTACTCGTTAAGAAAGGAAATTCGAACCGAAGTTGATGTACAGCTCGTGGTTATGGTTACATCCAAATACAAGATAGACTGATCATTTTCATTGGTTCTGACTTGAAGCGTCAGATGTTATTCCATTGGTTGAATGTATGTTATTAATATTCATGAGAACGAGAGAAATTTGAAGGAGGCAGCCACGGGTTTGTGGAAATAGAATGGACACAAAACCCGTGGCTTGCGACGATGAAACAAGATATAATAACATATTTTGGTGACATGTGGTAGGTACATGTATATGATATTTTAGGCCTGATATCCAAGAGGGGTCCAGTGTTAACAAATGGAAGTGACTTACCTTCTCTATTTCATAATACCGCGGGTATGGTTTTTGTAATAAAACGTTAATTCTACGTTATTTTTATGGATTTTTCATATGGAGTACATTGTAAATGTGTACTAGAAGATTAATTTATGGAAAAAGACGAATAAAAATATTCTTGGACCCCGGGGTGTATATTGGGGGGGGGGGGTCCTGTCCACAAGCACCTGTGCAGCATTCAAGCTTAAAAGACCATTCAAACAATACAAATCAGGAACAGTGCAAATCTTTTGAAATCAGAGGTAGAATCAAGTGCCATGGATCTGTCATGCTGTAAATTTTGAACTTACCGGTTGTCAGTATTTACTGCCACCCGGTAAATTCAAAATTTATAGCATGAGAGATCCTTTTCACGCTAGCACTTACCCCGACACGAGACCTTATACGGTCTCATCCAAAGGACCGATCTCCACGTTTTACAATTATCCAAACGGAGCATAAAACATTCTCAATGAATTTTTTAATCATTATGTTGAACCTAACAAATTATTCCGACTCGCTGCATGATCTGAAAAAACATGGCTGAACTTATCCATTCAGAAACTCACAGACTGGGATTGCTTTTAACCAGTGAGTGTTTTGGCCTTGATGCAAGGTCATTTGGTCGAGTCAAGGTCACTGACAGAGAAACTGTAATTTCGCTACCGTATTTGTATTAGTGAAACATAGCTGGTATCATGCAGAGTGTGACATGGCCTTGACTCAAGTTCAAGTCACTAAGGATAAGATGTTTTGACTGTATGTATGGACTAAAAGAACATGACGTGTCACTGTGAACTTTTCAAGTCGGTAACACACAGATTGGGTTTTATGACGAGAGTGTGTCATGGTTTGACACAAGGCATTTGGAATGTTCAAGGTCACGTACATTCCTTTACAGTTTTTCCTAGCGAAATATTGTAAGTTGCTTCCCCTTACAAGATTGCTTACATGTATAACTTTAGAATGTGGCATGACCTTGACTCAAGGTCACTTCTTCCTTCCGCAGCTCCAACGGAAGACCTATTCGTTGCTTTGCAACGAGCTCGCTCTAGTTATTTATTATTATTGTTTATTATTTGACTTTCTACTGATGATCGTTATATGTACTTGATATTAGTCATATTAAAAAATAACATGAATGAGAAAAATCATCAAATCAATAAAAAATACAAATTATGAAACAACATTCAGTTTATTGTTTAAAGGTAGTTTATTCTATGAATCATTTATTACACGTATTAAAGGAAGCAACGATACACCAAAAGTTTTTTTTTTATAAAACTGTTTGCTAAATTTGTTTCCCTTTAGCTACGTGTAACTTTGAGGAAGGTACCAGTTGCACATTACGTAATCTGATTCCTCCACCCCTTGGTCTACAGGCCCCGGATCTGTTCAGGGACAATTTTGATTGGGTGCTGACAGGAACAGTGAGTTTAGAAGATATTCAAATTTGACATCCTCTATTAATGGGTTATCTATCAGTTCATTATACAATGTAGTAATTCTGATGTCATACTTTTAAAAGGGAGCCACGCCCTCCAGAAACACAGGTCCGTCCTCGGCGTCTGAGGGTACCCGTTATGCGTATATAGAGGCATCTAACCCCAGGGTCGCTGGAGATAGGGCGGTGCTTAGAACATCAAGTAACTTCCAAAGTAGGTCAACAAACACCAATGCTCTTTTTAATTTACAAGCCATGACTTCAATTGCGCAACTCCTCTCTTTTTATACGCTAAGTATTTATAATAAAAATGTATTATTTTGTACTGTGAAATGTATTTTTTTTTAAAAAAAGGAATACTCAAGTAAAATGTCAGTAATTGGTACCTGGCTTAAATTATTTCCTTTCAATTTACAGAACTAAAAAACAATGTGCATTTAATATGTTCTTATTTGTTATCTTTACACTAATTCTGTATAAATAAGATAAAATTAATGAAAAGGATAAGAAGTTAGATTATTGCTGTTGTATATATTTCAATCTACACATGTAATTATAGACAATCCCCAGTGTCTTACATTTGACTACCATATGTTTGGATCCTCCCACGGAATGGGGGATCTAAAAATCTACTCCAGCAACATAAACAACGACATCACGTTACTATGGTCACGCGAGGGTAACCAAGGAAACCAGTGGTTTTCTGCCTCTGTTGACGTTCCAGCAGCTACGGGACTTGTGGTAAGTGTATTTAAGTATTGTGTATTGTGCCTTTGTTATAGCGGGCTTTTGATGTAGATGTATAATACAAAACTCATTCTGATGTAAATCGATTGGGAATGCATGGCCGACTTATGTACTTTATACATCATTGTTTTTTAACGAGAGGAAAAAAAACGCAAAACACAATGTTGTTAATTTTAAACTTATAGACTAGTGAGTTTGAATTCTTAATGCTCATCCTATGCAGGAGTTCAAAGATTCCAAATGACCTACTGTATATGGTAACTTGAAATATATATTTTAACACGTGCAGAAACTTTCTGTTAATAGGAAAGAAAAGAATCGCTTCTGTTTAGATTTTTTTCTCTTTAAATATTATGACCGTTAAGCTAAAAATAATCAACCCTATAGGAATCTGTTTTGAACATGAAATAAATTAAAATTTTGTGTAATCTCTTCCCATTGCAGATCTTTTTCGAGGCAACTCGGGGTGGCTCTTACAAGAGCGACATCGCCATTGATGACGTGCGCATTACCCAGGGTTCCTGTGGTGAGTTAAAGAAATTCAAATACTTCTAGTATAATACCCATCTTGAACACAAGGGTGTTAAAGAGATCCATAATTCATTATGTTCCATTAGGCTGTAGCACAAATCCATGTAAAAATGGTGGACAATGTACACAGACCAACACAGGATTCACATGTCAATGCACTAGCGGATTCGGTGGAAACACTTGTGACGTCATAGGTAGGTCTATTTCAAAAGCATTCATTCCATAGTTTAACATATTTTTATTACTATTCTTAGTTTAACATGATACATATCTTCAGTAGTAGAGATTGGTATTACATGTATATTTTCATACATCGGTGCCTTCGTAGCAAGGAATCATGGTTTTTTAATGCACAGTTTGTACAGTTCTAGTTCAGATAAAATAAGTTCAATTTTGATACATGTATAAACAAGACGTTTTTTCCCTTAAGTCGGACCAGTTACGTGTGACTTCAATACCGGGACTACCTGTAGCTTCCTGTCTCAGTCCACAAATGATGGAGACGATTGGAGATTCGGGACGGTAAGTACAGGAAAATGGTTTTTAAGTTCGTTATTGATTACACATAGATCAGAGGCTTGATGTGAAAATGTACGGTGAGGAACTATATGTATGTCCATTTCCTTCAAGCAATAAACTTTATTCAGACTTCTACATGTATTTGTTAAAAGTTTTGTCCAGAAGTGCATTCAGAAATTTGAAAGTCAGGGTATCATAATACATATGTTGTCTCCTCAGCGAACGCCTAGCTACAAGACTGGACCACAGTCTCCCATAGATGGCATTTTCGCCTACACAGAGGCCTCCTTCCGGTTCTGGGGCACCACTTACATACTTACTACTTCCGGGTCACAGCTACGTAAGTTTATAGTTATCATAAAAATAAGTGTTTCATTTATATAATGATGTAAACATATCTTTTTGTTTTATTAGTACGTCCCATGTAGGAGCTGTATCGCTGTATAATTTACCTTACTAATTGATGGTTGTTTAATTTTACGGAATAATTTGTCCATTTCTAACTAAAAATTACTAATATGTTTAACGTTTGATTGGAGCATTGGATTCATGAGCAGATAAAAATAATGTATACATTATTATCGTTTTTTTTTTGTTTTTTGTTTTTTTGTTTGTTTGTTTTTTTTTGTTTTTTGATCTGGGTCTCCATCACTACTGATCTAAATTTTCTCTACAGAGGAGAGCGCCTGGTGTCTTACATTCCAGTACAACATGTACGGAAATAGAATGGGGACGTTTGAGGTCAACGCAGGGTCAGCCGGAAGTCTGACGAAGGTTTGGTCACGGTCCGGTAACCAGGGCCGGAGCTGGAAATCGGCAGCGATATCAATAAGTTCCGCTCCAAATCTTGTGGTATGTTGTTATAGGTTTTGCTGGATGTTGCTTTGTATCAGACAACAGGTATTTCATGTAGCTATACATGTATTAATTAACAGACCTGGGGTAATGGTAATGTGTAAAGGTAATGCATTGTAATCATTAAATATTTTCAATGTAGTGGGATGTAATGTGTAATGGATCCATCTTTCAATTACAAGTTAGTTTATTAATTGTGTTAAAAGCATTTGTTAAACATCTACATATTTGAGATATAAATGTAATGAACAGTATCTTTCTCAAAAGTATCTTAATTTAAAAACAATGCAAATTGTGGGCTGGTAAACACGAACCTGGAATCAGGAGCCATGAAAGAGTGATTATCCCCAGTCGACTGATCCATCCCGCCATGAGCCTATTGATTGTTATTCAGTAAACTGATATATTTCAGAGTGAAAGAGGGAAAATATGAATTCTGACACTTTATTTCCTATAGATAAACTTGGAGGTAATCCGAGGTTGGGGATATAGAAGTGATGTTGCTATTGACAACGTGCGTCTACAGACAGGAACATGTAAGTGTACACATCATCTATCTGTGTGTAGTCTGGTTATCCACCTGTCTCTCTTGAAATATGTATATCTCTGGTAATCCCTTCACGTACTTAAAAATCTATATATTTCTGTCTTCATAACCATGTTTTTCTGCTCATATTATTTTTTTTCTCCTTTATGTTTCTCTCCTCGCATGTCCAACTGTCTTCTCTTCTTCTTTGTCTGTCCTTAACCGTTTATCTGTTTTAAATATTTATATTTTCTTCCTATCTTCACTGATATATAACACACTTTTGAAGAATGTGTTTGAAGGTAATTTTTTTCAAACTGAAAAAAGCGCAAGTGAATGAATGTTTTTTTTTATTTGTAGGTCCCTCATGATTTATTGCAACAGCTAGGATTTTTTGAGCTGTGAGAAATTTCATTGACTTGTATTATCTTTAATTTCATTATTTTAATTCGAAATGAACTTACGAAATAGTTTTAGAATCAACATGGCTCTCCAACAATGTTTTAAGAACTCTTTTGTCAGTTGTTCAATTAAGGGACTATATTCGGTAAGAAACAATATTGCCCCCAAAATCAAACTTTGACTGAGTAATATACACTTATGTTTTAAAACAGGGGGATATCTGCAGACTTCAAATCACTGAATATTTTCATAAGCCATGATGCCAGATGTTAGATATAACGTCAAGTAAATGACGTTAATTCAGAATTTCCATGATTTATACAGAAAAAGGTGTATATTACGTCGATATTTTGATTAAAAGTCACCGAGCGCAGCTCCAACTCAATATTTTGATATAATGTGTAGAATGATAATATGAATGAAATAAGTATATATTGTTCTGGAGCAGGCCTGCACTCTATAAATTGTATGGTTAAAATTGAGCAAATTTTGTCCATTTTTTCCTCTTTCTGAAAATAATACAAAATCCGAATGGTTTGTGACGTCATAGAAACAAAAAATGCCAATAACCTACCTTGAAACTATGATATTTTTTGTTGATTTATATTTCTCAAACAATATATACAATTCAGCACATTTCAAGAAATTTTCAAAATAGGACTTTTGTGGGGGCAAAAATATGCATATACCGCATACAGTTCTTTGACGGATTATGATCATGATATACTGTTCATGATTGAGCATTTTTTATGGTGGGTACTCCTTTTGCTGGCCTTTTATAATGTATGCGATGCATACTAACCCAAGATTTAATTCAATGAATTAAGAGGTAGATGATTGAAAACAATGTATAATTTTGGAAGCTTTTACGATTATGATTAAGTTTTTGTTGTTTAAAGTACATTGTACATTTTAGCAATAAAATTCTGAATAATTAATAGGTACCATAAAAGAATCACTGAAATGTTAAGAGCTACCTTTACACAATAGATAACATAAATGTCATAAGGTGGAAAAATTCACTGTTACATGTTTTGTTTTTTAAAATTCTTCAATATAGTTTATTTATTACATTTTGATTTTTTTTTATCTACGATTAAAAAATAAAACAGTATATGTTGCATCAGTTGTATCTATTGACCGATTCAAATGCAAATGGCGACAGGTTACCCGCCGGTACGCCATATTGGAAGTGTCTCTGCTACCGTTTGCTTAAAATTTCCCGAAGCAGAAGAAATTCCCTATAATTCATCGTTGTTATGCGAGATAACTCGAACGCACTTATGGAGAGACAACTCCTGCCAGCCACCCTGCAAGCGGTACCAGATAGCCTTAATCTGATAAAAATCAGACACTCGTTGCTCCTTTTTAACGATATGTCGCTTACGAGGTCATAAGCGAGATATCGTTAAAAAAGAGCAACGAGGACCTGATTTTAATCAGATTGCAGATTACCTCAACCTATTTTTTAGCATTTCTTTTTTCTACTTTTTCAATTGATAACTAAAGTTTCTTTTTAAACTTTTTTTCTAAAAACAAAATAGATAAAACTGAAAAAAAGAAATTAAATTTTGAGTATAGAATTACTCTTTTTTTAATTAATTCTCATTGTATATTATTTTTGCAAATCTTTAAAGATAATTTTTCTCAAAAACATTACATGTATTTTATTTCATTGACAAATGATATTTAGGCAGTTGTGTTTTCTAATTTTTTCCAATTTATGAAAAAAAAGTTTTCAAAAGTCTGTAGAGAAACCTTGGAATTATCAGATACTAATTTTCAAAGAAAATAGATACAGATTGATAAAGCTGTAATTTAAATATATAGCAACATCGGTGCACAGTTTTTTTTTTTTTTTTTTTGGTTTGTCTAAATTGGATAGATAATCTTTTAAACCGTTTTTGTTTAACTGTCTTTCTGACAAAATAAAGAAATAAAAATAAGATTAAATTTAAAAAAATCAATTTTTTTTCACTAGTCAGAATAAAGATCTTCTGATGAAGAACAGCAAGGACAAGGTCAGTATGTTAAGCCTTGTCCCCGTGGGTCAATTGTTTTTTTTTTATTTTCTTTTCACTTCAATTAGTCCACAATATATTGAAGTGCATGTATAAACATGCATTTCTGGCACATGCAGTGGTTCTTGAGGAAAAAAATGTAAATGGCGCCACCAGATTCTCTTTTTTCCATTTTCTCACTTTATTTTTTTAACTCTTTACATAAGGGTATTTTGTGACAACTAATTAACGTACAGCCCTAAAAGTCTTTGGTTAATAGGTCAGTAACGAGGGTTCTCCATCCATGTTTGTCACTGGTGAGCATTTAACGTATGCCCCAATTTCTCTTCTGTCTTTTATTTCGGCCTCCACTGTCCGTTTATTTTTACGTACACTGATAGAAACGGCAAAAAATGTATTTGGTGATCTATGCATTCGTTGCCAATTACTTAACTGCTGTCATGAAAGAAGCGATGGTTTTCGTTTTCTTTAAAGTGGAGATGAGTAGGGAGACAAATATAAATTTTTCATATTGCTTCTCCCATTGAGTCATGTGTTCTGTCGAGACAGATTTGGAAAAAGTATTAAAATCTAATGTAGAAGAATTCCCTTTCAAATTCGTTTCTAAATGAGTAAATTGGACTTCAAATTCATCGGAAACTACAGAGGACTCTTATAGGAGCTTGTATTTGGCTCAGTTCCGAATTCTAATAACGGCATTGGTTCTACAGTGTAATCAATTGTGATTTCCAGGAAACTCGAGAGAAACAACTTTTCGCTTTTGTATCTCAGTGAAAGTGTATTATTTCCCTTCTTTTTTATGTGAATACTAATGCCCTCTTCACACGCATAGTTTGATTCGACTTATAAGCAAGTTACTGGGAATTAAATTTGAACTGCATTCACATGGAAAACGTATGCCCCGTTCAAAATTAAAGAGAGTTAAATTCAAATTAAACGTAAGTTACGATTTAGTTTTGAATCGCGTTCACTGCGAATTAGTTTAATTTGAATTAATTTACTTCGCATTAAATTACTTAAATGAGTGTAACAGGGGTATGGAATGACACAAACACAACACTCCTGTCAGGGTTCTTCAAAGATTTATTGCACAGTGGAGTTATTATATGTAGTATATGTGAAAGCCCTGTAAATATCATAAAACAATAATAAATATAATGTAAATAATTATCAAACACAATGTTCATTATTTTACATGAAGATAATTATTGAATTATCATCGTTTATATTTTCATCGTCATCAAAGGGAGATTACTCTTAAATATATAAATCTTTACATATTACTCCCATAATAGTCATAAAAATATTTAAGATTAAAACATATAAATCTAAATCTCGCCATTCTATGGGAATAGGCTTTCCCACAAATTGTTATACAAGTATCTACATGAATGGTGATCTGTAATTTAATACAATTTATTTAAAAATATTATCCCTTTAAAAATATATATCAATAGCTCACTTTGAACAATATCATCAAATATATATTTGATCATCATAAAAACATATAACCTGATTAACATCAAATTACTTCTGTTAAATACTTAATATTGATCTTATAATCAATAATAAATATACATCATAAAATAACTTTCTCTCAAATTCATTCATTCACTTTAGTAAGTGCAAATGGAAATAACTTTTGCATACTATAGGATGAACATTTAAAATATGAAATTAATATTAGTAACTTACCAGAAATGGAAATCTGTCCAAAGTCAAAAATGTCTTTTTTGAATATATATATGGTCTGGTCAAATCAACCACTGAACAAAGAATGCTCATAATAAAGCGGGAAAATTCCAACCCAGTCATAAAACCAATGGAATCAGATCTTTGAAATCAATAACCAATAAAAACCAAAATAACAATAACCACTTCCAAAACACCTGACCAATGCCCTTTGGTATATATATAAGTATGTACAGGTAAGGGAGAACTAAGGGGTGGATCTAGGTTTTGAATAACAGATTAAATAAAAGTTAAAATATATATTCTGGCAAGCTCTGTTACTTTATTTTTGCACAAATCCAACACTATTACAATCTCCCCCCGGTCGAGGAATGACGTCCACGTCATTCAAATGGGAAACTATAATCCTGAAATATAAAGCATAAAAATACGTAATATTCAATTAAAACATTACTTAGATGATACAGACACAAGATTTAACAAGGCTAACTGGCAAACACTGTAGTCAACACTCTCTAAAGTTCTTTGTTCCATCAAACTCTTGATAAAATTGGCTCTCTGTAACCATTCTGGCTGTGTCTGGCTCATCATCACAAAGTCCTTTGCCCAAGGTGGTTTACTTTTGTTTCTATTTGATCTCCTTGGTGCTGGTACTGGTACTTGGGTATCTTGTGTAGAAGGCTCCTGGTGAACAGTATCATCAGCATGTGAAGGCATATCATCATCAATATCATCGTCAACTTCATCATCAACATCATCATTATGCTCTTCATCCTCTTCAGCATGGTTCCCAGGCTCATCCTGGTGGAGAGCGTCCTCTCCTGAAGCCATAACCGACGCTTCCTCAGCCAAGGAATAGTCGTCACTATCTTGACTGGGGATGTCTTGATATGAATTTTCTTACTGCATTATAGGGTAACCTATGAAAGAAAATTCGCTATCTGAATCTGAATGGGTACCATCAGTAGAATTTGTTTCTTTTGATACTTCTCTTTTTGTTGCCTTCCTTCTACTTCTTGGCGGTTTTGATGGAGGAGGTGTATTCTTCTGTAATTTGGAACCTATTGGAAGCAATAAATTTCTATATAGAACTTTACATCTTCCTTCACTCGTCTAACTTTGCAAACAGGTATGTCTTTATTAGATTGAGCAACGACTACATAAGGCTCATCTTCCCACTTGTCAGCGGTTTTATGCTTTCCATCATACGATACAATTTTCACCAAAACTCTCCAACCTGTACAGTAGCCGCTCTT